TCCCCTAGAGAGCGGGTGGACTGAAACCACTTGTCGTTGGGATGGCAGCACAACTCCTCCCCCACAAGGTCACAAAAAAGCTGTTTCCAGATGGGGGGAAATTTGTCAATGACATATCTGACAAAACACTCAACTCTCAAATTTCTAGAAAACTAACTTTAACAAGGAAAAGACACATAATCTAATTAGAAAATTAGCAGAGGACATGAATAGACACTTCACTAAAGACATTCAGATGATCAATAGACACGTGAAGGGATGTTTAAGATCAACAGATATTAAGAGAGATCCAAATCAAAACTACAAGAGCTATCCTTTCACGCTGACAACAGCAGCAAAGCTCAACAGGATGCAGGACAACCAGTGCTAGTGAGGGTGTGGTGAGACACTCTGCCGACTCAAAGGTTGCAACCACCAAGGAACGCAGCTTGGCATAGGAAGGGCCGTCCTTAGGGAGCTCAACTACCAGCCCGAAGGTGACAGCGGCACACCTCTCTGGCAGTTCAAATCCACCAGCAGCACAGTGAGAGAAAAATAGGCAAGCTCCCTCGATGCAATTTGTTGTTCTCAAGTGCATCAAGTTGCTTATGACTCATAGTGACCCTACGTATAACAGCTCTGAATCTGATCTATCCTGAGCCAACCTCATTGACTCTGAAACCCCCCCCCCCGTTACCCCAGTGACTGAATCAATCCATCTCATAGAGGGTCTTCCTCTCCTGCACTGTCCCTCCATCCTCCCAGGCATGATGTCCTTCTCCAAAGACTGGTCCCTCCTTGCAACATGTCCAAAGTATGTCAGACAAAGTTTCAGAATCCGTGCCTCCAAGGAGCAGCCTGGTTTCATGCCCTCCAGGACACACATGTTTGTTCTCCTGGCAGTCCATGGTATATTCCACATTCTCCTCCAGAACCACAACTCAAAGGTATTAATTCTCCTCCTATCATCCCTAGTCACTGCCCAGCTTTCTGATGCATGTTGCTGTTGTTATCTGCCGTCAAGCCGCTTGTGACTCATAGCGACCCTATGTGTAAGAGCCCTAAACCCCGCTCTATCCTGTGCCAACCTGTCTCCGACACACCTACTCCTACTACCCCAATCACTGAATTGATCCATCTCATCTAGAGTCTTCCTCTCCTGCACTGTCCTTCCACTCTCTAAAACATGATGTCCCTCTCCAAGGACATCCTTCCTTGCAACATGCCCAAAGTATGTCAAATGAAGCTTCACAATCCGTGCCTCCAAGGAGCAGCTCGGTTTCACCCTCTCCAGGACAAACTTGTATGTTCTCCTAGCAGTCCATGGTATATTCAACACTCTTCTCCAGAAACACAGCTCAAAGGCATCAATTCTCTATCATCCCTAGTCCCTGTCCAGCTCTCCAATGCATAGTACACAATTGCAAAGACAATGGCCTGGATCAGGCGCAACTTAGTCTCCAGCCTGACGTCGTTGCTCTTCAGTGCTCTGGCGAGGTCCCTCACAGCTGACTTTCCCAATGCAATATGTCTCTTGATATCCTGGCTGCAGCTACCAAGAGTGTTGACTAAAAAAAAAAATTTTTTTTTTAAAAAGAGTGTTGACTGTGGAGCCAACAAACTAAAATTGTTAACTATCTCAATCTCTTCACCATCCATACTGATGTTGCCAATTGGCCCAGTGGTGAGAATCTTTTTTTTCTTGATGTTGAGCTTCAATCTGTATTGAAGGCTGCAGTCCTTGACCTTCTGCAGCACACACTTCAGGTACTCCTCAATTTCAGCAAGTAGGGGTTTTTTTAATATTTTTTATTTTATTTTATTATTTTTGTGTGCGTGTACCGTCAAATCAGATCTGACTGGTACAGGAGGAGATTGCCCCTCCTTCCCCGGCAGAGCATCTGGTGGATTCAAACTGTGCACCTCTGGGATTGTAGTTGCAGCTTCTTGCCACTAGGCCACCAGAGCTCCCCCCAGAAAGGTTTGTGTCATCATTTGCATAACGCATGTTATGGATCAATCTTCCACCAATCCTGATGCCACATTGCTCCGTGTACAGCCCAGCACTGGATGATTTGTTCTGCATAGACTGAAAAGGTATGGAGACAGAATACATCCCTGGCAGACCCCCTTCCCAATTTTCAACCATGCAGTGTCTCCTTGCTCTTTTCTGACGCCTGCCTCTTGGTCCAAGTATAGGTTTCACATAAGTATAATCAAATGTTCTGGGATTCCCATTCTTCTCAGAGTCAACCATAGCTTGTTGTGATCCACAGTCAAAAAGCCTTTGCGTAGTTAATGAAGCACAGACAGACATGATCCATTTCACATCAGCTATAATATCTCTAGTACACCATCTCTTCTAAATCCAGCCTGAACATCTGTCAGTTCTCTGCTGACGTGTTGCTCCAGTCATTTTTGGGTAATTTTCAGCAGAATCTTGCTTGCATGTGATATTAATGATATTGTTCAATAACTTCCACCAAGTAATTATGAAGGCCATGGCCTGGATCAGGTACACCTTAGTCTCCAGACTGACACTGTTGCTCTTCAGTACTCTGGAGAGGCCCCTGACAGTAGCGTGTCTTTTGATTTCCAGGCCGCTGATACCAAGAGTGTTGATTGTGGAGCCAAGCAAACTGAAGCTGTTAACAATCTCAATCTCTCCAGTGTCATGATGCTACCAATCAGCCCAGTGGTGAGAGTCTTTGTTTTCTTGGTGATGAGTTTCAATGCACATTGAAGGCTTCAATGCTTCAGGATCTCCTCAGTTTTAGCACGCAAGATTGTGTTATCTGCATAGCACAGGTTGTTGAGTCTTCCTCCAATCTTGATACCACACTCCTCCTCATAGAGTCCAGCCTCCCGGGTGATCTGTTCCATATATAGGTTGAAAAGTTATGGAGATAGGATGCATCCCTGGTGTCCACCTTTCCTGATTTTGAACCAGGCCAGACAGTGTCTCCTAGCTCTGTCCTGACAACTTACTCCTAGTCCAAGTAAAGGTTTCGTATAATCACAATCAAGTGTTCTGGGTTTCACATTCTTCTCAGAGTTAGTCACAGTTTGTTGTGATCCACACCATCAAATACCTTTGCGCAATCAATGAAACACATATAGACATTCCTCTGGTACTCTCTGCTTTCAGCCAAGATCCATCTAACATTAGCTATAACATCCCTAGTACAATGGCCTCTTCTAAACCCAGCCTGCACATCTGGCAGTTTTGTTGATGTGCTGTTCCAGTTGTTTTGGGATAATTTTCAGTAGGATCTTGCTTGCATATGGTATTAATGATACTGTTTGGTAATTTCCACATTCAGTCAGATCACCTTTTTTGGGGAATGGAAACCAATTTAGACCTCTTTTAGTCAGTTGGCCAGGTATTTGTTATCCACATTTCTTGATACAACTTGGTGAGCGCATCCAGGGCAGTTTCTATTTGTTGAAAATATGTCAATTGGTAGGCCGTCAATTTCTGAGGCCCTTCCCCCACCCCAATTCCTTCAGAGCAGCTTGAACTTCCTCTTTCAACACCATAAGCTCTTGATGACGCGTTGTTTGATGAAATTCTTCTGCATCAGCCAATTCTTTTTGGTACAGGGATAGTATACAACTTAACATCTTCTGTTAATGCTTCCTGGGTCATTTACTACACTACCCACAGCATCCTTAAGTATTGCAACTATCCCAGAGAAACAAGCTATCACACAAACTGACATACACAAGCCTGTGTTTACAACATTTACAATAGCAAAGAGCTGGAAATGACCCAAGTGTTCATCAACAGATTAGTGTTTAAGACATGATGGTCCATGCTCACCTGGTTTATTATGGATTACTAAAAAGTGATCAAGAATTTGTGAAAAGCTAAATGTGCAACAATGAATGAATGAAAGCCCAATCTTTCTGGAAACTTTCTTTAAAATCTTAATTACAAAAAGGGGGGAAAAAAAGGATTTGTGAAAAACTGTACAACTGTGGGTGAACTAGAATAAATTATACTGAGTGATCTAAGTCACAAAAGGACAATTATGGTATAAAATTACAATTACAAAAAGCTAAAAAAAGTTTATATACAAGTGAACCCATCTTGGAAGAATGAGAAGGGAGGAGGAGGAAAGGTTAATAAATATACAAGTTGGGTAAAGGACGAGACAATATATAGTAAGGGTTGGCTTACACATTCCAGAGTCCTGGTAGTATAGTGGTTAAGGAGCTCGGCTCACCCACAGACAGGTGGTTCAAATCCACCAGCTGTTTGTTCCACAGGAGAAAGACGGGTAATCTCCTGCGTCATTCACTGCCTCTCTGAGGATTAGCTAAGTCGGTTCTGACTCGATGATGATGAGGTTATCTGAGTTGTTACTGTAACTGTTGTCAAGTACCATCGAGTCAGAGCTTGCTCAGCTCACCTTCCAGCAAGTTTTCCTAAGCAATATCTACCTATCTATCTCCTTCCCTCCCTCCCTCCGAGCAGCTCATAAAACAAAATGATCATGTGAAAAATCCTGTAAAAGAAATACAGACAGACATTTAACAAAAAAGGATGGTGTGGGCCAGGGCAGTGTTCCTTCTGCTGTGCCAGCATCTCACAAAAACAGAGTTAACACCAAGCATGGAGGGGCAGGCCAAGCAGGGCTTGGGCTGCTGTCCACAGGATGCCCAGTGGGAAATGCCCCAGGACTCGGAGCACCGCACTAGTAGTTCCACAAAACACAAAGCCCAGAGGAACTTCACGTGTTGATGAAGCAGAGTGAGTGCATGCCAAGTGCTGGAGGACTGTGAACTGATACCACCTTGCCGAGCAGGGCTTTGGCACACGTGCTCCTCTGCACCTTCTGACCCCAGGAATAAACAAGACCACATGGCAGGACGGGAGGGCTTCGGTGTGGCCAGTGGTCTTGTTTGAATAAGAACATCAACAGCGAGCACACACACAGCACAGGGAACTCTGGTGGATGGCAGGTCTGTCTGTCACACACACATGCGGTGTCGATCATAAGGCCAGGTTGGCTTACCTGTCTTTCTCTTGCGTCGCACCGGTGCCCTGGGACTCAAAGGTCGCTGATATACAGCCGTGCTCAGCCCAGAAGCAACTGCTTCAATTGTTTCATCAAGCAGAGACGACATCAGGTACCTTGGGACATGCTACCCAGAAAAGGAGAGAGTGTGCCGTCACCAGGGTGGCCATCTTCTTCATGTACCATCAGGCACTCACCCAACAGAATGCTCTGAGGTCACAGGTGGGTCAGAGGTGTGTACTTAACCTGACAGTGAGGATCAAGCCCAGAAAGGTGTGATGGCTGACAACCCTGGACACCTCCTGAAGAGCAGGTGGTGAGCACTTCACCTCCTGGCCACACTCTCAGCAATAGGCAGGTTTGCCAGGCCTGAGAATGTAGGCCACAGGGTACTCTCCTTCCAGCCCACAACCTGTCCTCAGGGCACGTGTGGCCTGACCTGGTAGCCCTGCCCTGTTCCCCTTCCTGCATCATCGCCAGGAAGGGCAAGCCAGCTGCGTCCCACACCTTCTCTCAATGGTGGAGCCAGGGGAGGCCTGGGGTGCACCCATACAGGTCTGGCACAGAGTGGGCCCAAGAAGGGCACGGTGCCCAGGTCAGTGGAACTAAGCACCCACCTGGATCCTCCTGGCAGTGGTGATGCGGTTCCGGTTCACAGTGGCCCTCACTCGCTCGCTCTGCCGTGTCCTGGCAATAGCCCGGGTGCGTACTGTGCTGGGCCGCAGCCTGCTGCTGGTAGGCACCACGTCGGCCAAGAGCAGAGAGACTTCCTCCTCACTGATGTGGTCTGGGTCTGGTGAAGAGTGGAGGCTTGCAGGCCACATGCCAACACATAGCACCCTCCCATGTTCCCTGGCCTAGCTACCACAGGAAGAGGATGCCCATGGCCATTAGGCAGGGCCCAGGGGGCAGACTCGCAAGGGACCCCGCACAGCCCCTACTTGTGTTGACACTTGTGCCCAGCAGCCCCTCTGAGACCACTGCTTGCCTCACCAGAGCCAGTGCCTGGAGCCGCACACTCGGGGCAGAACCACTCATCCACCGGTACCTCCTGGAGTGGGGGGTCTAGACATTCCATGTGGTACCTGCAGGAGCAGAGGATAGAGTGTGTGGGGGTGTCAAGGTACGCCTAATGAATGCACCCCAAATCTGGAGTGCACCTGACCCACAAGATGGCAGAGGCTGTGTTCCAGAGGGCTGACCGCTGCTTCCACCTCTCAGGCTAGGGCCACCAGGCCCACCAGGTCTCAGCCTCCTAGAGGCCTCTCCTGAGGAGCGTGCCAGACACAGCTGCGGGAGAGCAAAGCCCTCAGACCTGGGGCATGGTGCTGAGCAGGAACGTAAGTGGTCTCTCCCATGTCTGAGAGATGGGTGCTTGTGTGGGGACTACCTGACTCAACGTCCACTTGAGTTGGCCAAGCACCCAAGCGGTCCAAACTCCCTAGACAGAAACCCAGGGCTAGAAGACACTCTGAAGCATTTACTGAGGCACACAAAAACAAACAGGAAAAGATAGCCAAGACAACACGTTCCTGCAAACCAGACCCCTAACGCAATGCACCCTTCAGTCGATCTGTCCTGCCATGGTGGTCTTCATGTTTCTGTAATACTAGAGGTTATGACATCAAGGACATGAAGAAAGCAAAAAGGTCGCATTCTAAGTTTAGGAAAAAAAGAAAATAGAAAAAATGCATATCAGGAGAAACTCTAAAACTTGCTCCAGAATGGAAAGTAGCAAAAACAAACAGAAATAAGTATGTAAAAGAACTGAATAGATCTGAAAAGTAGCTTGAGAAGACAAAACAGAATATGAAAGTAAAATATAAAAAGACCTGGAGAAAGAAAGCTAAAGGAAACGCCTCAGTATTTCTCATGTGGAAAGGGTAAAAAATATTCAAGCCTTGTTTATATACAGTCATGGTTTGAATAGACATGGTAATAAAATCATTTAGAAAAAAAGTCAACTGCAATTAATGTTACTTAGAAAACAAAGTCAGGGTTTTTATTCTTTTTTTTTTAATGCCAGGGGTTGTTTTAATGGAAAAATTACTCTCCTTCCTTCTTGCTATCCCAGAACACCCAAGAACAAAAGACCAAACCAAGAAAAGGATGCTCTAGGAATACCAGTCGATGGCACATAACAACAACATGTGCCCCAATGAACTCAATACTGGAAACAGGCACCGACAGCAAGACAATCAGAAGTCAGCCATGTGACCAGCTGACTGCAAGAGATCAGTATTCCAACCCATTCCAAAGAAACGTTATCTAGCGAAACATGGACATTATTATCATATTATAACATGCAAGTAACATTTTGAGGCTAATTCAAATTCGATTATGGCAGTACATCAACAGGGAACTGACAGATATTCAAGCTAAATTCAGAAGTTGTGGAATGAGAATATCAGTACTGATGTTAGATGAAAATTTTGAAGGCAAATTATAAAGGGGTTTGCCTGTGTTTGTCAATTATACAAAAATACCTGACTGTGTAGGTCTGAAGAAATGATGGACGCCACTCTGTAAAAACGAGACCTCCCGAACGCTTCCATGTGCTCCCATGGAGCTGCACACAGAGCAATAGGCAGCGTTTTAAGCAGGAAAAGAGCACCCTAGAGTTTCCAATCAGGAAAGGTCTCACCCAGGCTGTACCCCTGCACCACCCCTACCCAGCCGGTAAGGTGAGCAGAGCATTTGAGAAGCTGGCCACTGAAGAAAGTGGCCTCAGGCCTGGAGGACAGTTCACCTGGGCTATGCAGACACGACGCCCCAACACTGGCTGCTGCCGTGAAGAGGACTGGGAAGCACTTGCTGGTGAAGAGCAAAGGCTGCAGCCTCTAGTACGGACTCCACTTCAACATACAAGCGCGTCTTCACTGGTACAGGCGGCAAGACAGTGAACAGAGGAGGATCGTGGGCCTGTACATTGACAGGAGCCTCCGGGTGATGCATCAAGGAGGCCATGAAGCAAGTGGGGCTCGACTCCCTCCTCAGCCTTGTGCTGGATGGCACCACTGGATACCTGAGAGTCCCCGAAGACCAGTACAAGCTGACCGAGGACACGAGGCTGCTGGGGTTGGTGGTGAGGTAGGGCACATCTGTGGTGCTCAGCTGCCTGCAGGACACCACAGAGGCCATCCCCAACCCTTTCATCCAGCAGCAGGATGCCTGGGGATACGGTGGGGATATCCCCCCACAGAGGCCATCCTCAGCCCCTCCATCCAGTGGCAGGATGCCCAGGGGGAGCACAAGAAGAACTCACCCCCTACCCAGCAGTCCCACCAGATAGAGCTCTTTTTCTTTTTGTCTAGTTTTAGGGGTTTTTGGTTAATAAAACTGCAAACACACACACACTCACTCTGCTTACATCAAAAACCTGAACGTCATGGTAAAGTGAAAAGTGACTGGAGTTGTCAAGATGTCACTGGACTTGCATTTACTTTCAATGTTCATGGAAGTGGTAGTCAAGAAATCAAACACCACACTGCAGTGAGGAAATCGGCTCCCAAAGATCTCATAAAAATGTTAAAAATCAGCCTTTTCGTTCTCTTGGCACCACCATGGCAGTTGGCAAGAACAAGCGCCTTACAAAAGGTGGCAAAAAAGGAGCCAAGAAAGTGGTTGATCCATTTTCTAAGAAAAACTGGTATGACGTAAAGGCGCCAGCAATGTTCAATATAAGAAGTATTGGGAAGACATTAGTTACAAGGGCTCAAGGAACCAAAATTGCATCTGATGGACTAAAGGGTCATGGTTTTAAAGTGAGCCTTGCTGATTTGCAAAATGATGAAGTTGCATTTAGAAAATTCAAGCTGATTACTGAGGATGTTCAAGGCAAAAACTGCCTCACCAACTTCCATGGCATGGATCTTACCCCAGACAAAATGTGGTCCATGGTCAAAAAATGGCAGACCATGATTGAAGCACATATCGATGGTTATTTACTTTGTCTATTTTGTGTTGGTTTTACAAAAAAATGCAACAATCAGATTCAGAAGACATCTTATGCTCAGCACCAACAGGTCTGCCAAATCCAGAAGAAAATAATGGAAACCATGACCTGAGAGGTGCAGACAAATGACTTGAAAGAGGTGGTCAATAAATTGATTCCAGACAGCTTTGGGAAAGACACAGGAAAGGCTTGCCAGTCTATTTATCCTCTCCATGATGTATTTGTTAGGAAAGTAAAAATGCTCAAGAAGCCCAAGTTTGAATTGGGCAAGCTCACGGAGCTCCATGGTGAAGGTGGTAGCTCTGGAAAAGCTACTGGAGATGAGACAGGTGCTAAAGTTGAACGAGCTGATGGCTATAAGCCACCAGTTCAAGAATCTGTTTAAAATTCAGACTTTTAATAATTACAAATAAAAAGGATTATTTGTGGGAAAAAAATGTTAAAAATCAGAGTTGTCATTTGCAAAGCTAAGGTGCATGTGATGCTAACCATGGTGTGTTCAGTCCCATGTGAGAGCTGGACAATGAATAGGAAGACCAGAGTAAATGGGTATCTTGAATTGTGCTGTTGTCAAAGGGTAGAGAATAACCCATGAACTGTCAAAAGAACAAACACTGTGTCTTGGAAGAAGTTACAACCTGAGTACTCCTTAGAAGCCAAGGATGGCATGACTTAATGCTGGGGACTCCAGACATTTTCTCCAGAGTGACCAATTACTGGAGAAAGACATCATGTTTCATAAGGTAAGAAAAGACCCTTCATGAGATGAACTGACACAACAGCTTCAACAGTGGGCTGAAAACATGGCAACAATTGTGAAGGTGGGAAGAACAAGCTAGTGTTTGTTCTGCTGTGCCAGGATCTCTACAAGTGGAACTCTACAAATCCCCCTGAACAAAGAGCTGGCACTGCTCAAGAGCTAGGCACCCAGAGGGCAAAAGGAAAGCTCATGGCAGCAGTTCTCCATAAGCAAGACACTGTACACGGTGGCAGGGGCCCTCCCTGCGGATGGAGTGGTTACATATTGTGCTAAATAAAAGGTCACCAGTTCAAATCTACCAGCTGATAAAGCAGACTGCTCTCATTAAGATTATGGTCTTGGAAATTAAATGGAGGGTCACCAAGAGCCAAAAGACCCCACAGTGAAGGGTAAGGTTTTTTGGTTGTTTGCTGTGTGGCCCCTATGTGAGAAAGGCAGAAAAAGGCCTGCAGAGAGAGGGGTGTGCTCACCCTGAGAAACAGAACCCTCTGTTACACTCCACACCATCAAATAAAAGAACCAAGAAGCCAACATGTTTCACCCCGGGCTTCTTTAGGAACTTCAGTGACTGCAGGCAAGGTCTCTTCCAAAAGACCTGCTTGCATCAGAGGAGAAACATCAGACCCCACAAGGCATTGGGGTAGGCAGTCCACAGGGGCCCAGGAATGAGCCAGTGGTCTCTTCCTGACTCCACATGATGGGGCACGAAGGCAGTGACAAAGGCTGTAATCTCAGCCTGTCCAAGAATTTGGAAGTGGGCCAGAGGGGGGTTCACTGCAGGGCTGAGCCGCCACAGGGTGCATAGGTAAAGATGGAGTCTCAGGAAGATGAAGACTGTCCACTGGACAAACTCCTGAGACCACGAAGAGGGAACTGGTGAGAAGACATGGGCTGAGCTGACGACTACGGTGCAGGCAGTAATGGAAGTGGGTCAGCTGTCATCAAACGACTGGTGAGGAAGTCACAGGACACCTGCCAACCACAGTAGCCATGGGGAGGGCAGAAGCCCAGGCCCTGGAGGCCCACTCTGCTAGGCCAGCTCCAATCACTTGGCTCAAGCCTCTGGCTACTGTGAAGCCCAAGTCTTGAAACTGTCAGTTTCTGCCCAAGAGAACGTTTTAGATATACTAGCCTCACCTACTTCTTTTAAAGAGTTTTGGGGAGCCTGTATCCTAGAGGAAAGGTATTTCAGTATCTTTACACCACAATTTTATAACTGAAGAGACACTCAAAGTGTCTAACAACAAACGTGAAGGGTGTTTAATGGGAGAGCGTTCAGTCAAGTGGGACAGGCCTGGTGGTAGGGAGCCAGAGACCAGTCACCCAGTGGCCATGACCAAAGTACCCACCAGTTGCCTCTGCAGAACCTCTAAGTACGTCCCTAAAAAAGGCGAGGCCATCACAACAACCTGAGATGCCTGCTGCCCCCTGGCAGGGTCTTGAGACCCCACAGGCTGCTCCATGATGGAGGAGCATCTGACAACCCTCTCCTGGGCGAGGCTCGACACCCTAGCCACAGCCCCAGCCCAGCCTGAGCCTGTGGCTCTGGAGCCCTTACCCAGCATCACAGCGGTCACACAGGAGAAGGCGGTCCTCCCGGTCACTGTGACCACACACCTCACAGAAGGTGGGATCATCCTCCTCAGCCTCGGGGGCTTGGGTGTTCTCCACTGGGATCTGCAGAGACAAGGGTAAGGAAACTGAGATGCAAACCAGCTTGCAGTTCTGGGACAAGTCAAAGCCCAGGAAGCAGGCCCGCAACAGCAGATCTGGAGAACCACACCTGCAGAAGCCTGAGTCCAGCTTCTGCACTCAGTGGCTCCGTGGACTCTTGCAAGTGAGAAAGACAAGTATTTAACTGCAAAACCCACCCCACTGCCTTCTCCAGCATCTAAGACTGCATGCACACGCAGGCCTTCCTAAAGCTTTCAGCAATGTGAGGTACGTCATCATCTTATCCCAGCCGAGAAAGTGGCTGTGGATGAAAGAGGCTCCGCCGTTCAAGAGAGTGTGCCATGACAATGCTAAGAATTACACAAGGGATGGGATTGAGGTCAGGAGTAGGTATGACATGCCACCAGTGGACCGGCCTCCCCGGCTAGGCCCTCCACTGCAGGCCTGCACAAGGGTACCCAGTGGATTCGTGGAAAGCTAAGGGGCGTTAGTGCCCACCTTGTACAGGCTTCACGCGTACAGCTGGATGTTTCAACTGACTCCCAAAGCATTTCTAATCCACACTCAGCTCGCCTCCTGAAACCTACCCAGGGACCCAGGACCTAGGTGGGAAACCCTGGCTAGCAGAGGCTCTCAGCTGTGTATGCACTCACCTTTCTCAAGATCTTCCCACCAAGTCGAGCTCGGACACAAATGCACTTAAAGACCGTGCGATCCACTGGGCAGGAGGTGGCATTCTGCAATAGACAAGACCAGGAGCTCAGCTTCAGGAGCCCTGTTGCACAGTGGATAAGGTACCCGGCTACAAACCACAAAGGTGGTGGTTCACACCCACAGCTTCCCTGTGAGAGGGAGACGGTGTGGTCTGCTTCCTTGGTGAGCCCTAAAGGTGGCCCTACTCTGTCCATGGGACTGACTCAGGGGTGGCTGGCTCAGTCTGGATTCCGGAGAAGCAGCCTCACCATTAATGCCACACTCAACACAGTCAGAAAAGAACTGATAATAACAGCAAAAATAAAGAGAAAATGAACCACTGCACATCTCTATCTACCAAGCCCTGAGCTCTGCTGCAAGGAATGCAGACAGAAACAGCAGTGAGCAAAAAAGCAGTGAGTGTTCCTCAGGGGGACAGCCCTGGTCCATGGGGCCAATGACCCAGGGGGACAGCCCTCACCCATGAGGCCAATGACTCGGGGCAGCCCTATTCGATGGGGCATACATCCTGGAATAGAGCCATGCTCCATGGGGCTGAGCCCAGGGTAGACAGCCCTGCTCCATACAGCTGACGACTCAGGGGGGACAGCCCTGCTCCATAGGGCTGATGTCTCCTAGGTCCTTTCCTACTGTGTGACAGCTGCTATGCTGTCTGCACCAATGAGGCAGGAATTAACCCTGTACCTTCAGGTGCAGGCGGAGCAGGTACGTATGCAGAACAGTCTCAGGAAATATCACTTGCTTTGTGTGTGATGCTTTTAGGACCTCTGCAGTCAAACCTTGATGGGAGTGGAACCTGCTAACCTCCATACCCAGTAAATGAGACAGCATGCCTTAGGGGGCTCCCCCAGTCCAGGAAGCAACAGACATCTGGGGCAGGCTGCTGGGACCACATCAGTCTACCAGTGACCTCCAAGCAAGGCTGCAGACACAGAAAAAGTCCTGGCCACCAGTATGGAGGGAGGACTCATAAAGGAAGCAGGAAGGCCACTCACCTTGGACCATTCCAGGATGCAGTCCAGGCAGAAGTAGTGGGCACAGGTCTCCGGGGTCCCCACAGCCTGGTCTCGAAACACATTGAGGCAAATTGGGCAGCTCTCAGCTTCGTCATCAGAGCTGAGAACTCGGCCTACTGGTGGCTGCTGCTTCTGAGTGTTGGCTGAAAGCACCACAACCTCGTCCTCAGAGTCCTCCGTACCTGAGAATGAGGGGATGGTACACCACTGCTTTAGTGGGCTGATAGAAGGGAGGGTGCCCGGTAAGGGAAGGAACCGACAGCCTAGCCACAGAGAAGCCAACTTGTAATGCCAGAGACATGGGCCTGGCCTATGTAGAGGACACACAACAATGACCACCGTCAGGAGATGGCCAAGAGTGGACCTATTCAGTTTACAGCAAGGTCCATCCCAACCCCGCTGGCTGACACCCCCCATAGTGCAGCCCAGCTCTTCAACACCACACCCTCGTGTGCAGAGCCCCAACCCTTGTGGGGACACAGGCCAGCTGACACTAGACAGCTCACATGACAGTGAGCTCAGAGTTGATAAACCCATGGACACCGAGGTGACTGCTGTGCTGTCCTGAACCTTTCAGTCTGCAGCAAGAGGAAGTCAGCCAAGATGTCCACAACCAAGTGCCAAGCAAGCGGCAGAGGAGGCCGCTGACCCAACTTGCTGAGGGGTCCAAGACCAAAAGAGCCTCAACTCAGTGAGGAGCAGCCCAAGATGGAAAGGGGTCTGGAAAGGATTGTGAAGCTCTCCAGAACACTGGGCCACATCTGCCTCTCCCTGCCCAGAAGATGACTGCAGGGGCTTGCTTCAGAAAGGCAGATGATGACCAGGATTGCCAAAAGACCCAGGACCCCAGAGCTGGATCCTCATGGTCTATGTGACAGCAGGTATGATGGCGAGCAGGGAGACACCCACCATGTCATCACAGACAAGCCACTAGGATCAGCACTCAGCAAGCTGCCCACACCAGCCAGTCATCCTAGCCGCCAAGCAGCCAGCCCTCACCAGGAGAGACTTGCTACTTTGTGTCAACAAACCCCACCTTGCAGCTCACAGGGTCCTCCATGCCCACACATATCTCTGCGGGGGCAGGCGACCTGGGAAGTGAGGCTGGTGCACAAGATGTCCTGCACCCCTAACCTCTCTGGCCAGGCCCCAACATCAGCAAGAATGCCTGTGCCCTTACCAGATCTGTCTCCCTGGTCCTCGTCCTCGGACATCTCGTCCTCGTTGTCTTCAGTGCTGTCCCCATGCTCACTGCTCGTGTCATCTCCAGTGTCCCCGCTGTTCCCATCACTCCTCTCCTCTAGACAGACAGGGTGAAAATACAGCCCAAGGTGAAGTGAGCACAGGCTCCAGGTGGCTAGCACACCATCGGGCACTGAGGTGACGTGGGCCAGGAGCTTCCTAATCTACATGCTATGCCGCCCCTTAGAAACTAAATACTGGACTACTTCTGCACTGTGCCAGGAGCACAGCTACCCTCAGAGGAGCTCAGCTTCTCCCGGAGAGAAGAGGAAGCCAACCCCCGGGGACAAGTGCACATGGCCCCACACAATGGGGTAGGCCAAGGCTAACTTACCAGCATCACTGGCCGGGCCAGCAGGGCTGGGCCATAGGTGTCCACCAGGCTGTGCAGTCCGCTCTGTAAGCTCATCCAGGCTGTCCTCATCCATGTCTGGGCATCGGAGCTCAGCTGTGGAACAAACCAGACCCCAGCAGTTTTTAACTGTACTCAGGCTGCAAGCCTCCCCACAAGTCAGACTCTAGTGCCACCTGTCCACTTCTGCAGGTTAAAGATACTGACACCTACTAATGAAGCCACAGGCACAGCAGGAAGCAGCCTGGAGGAACCCTAATTAACGAGGACTCTGACTCAACCAAATGGCTCGGAGGCACTTCTTTGTGTGCACACCCTGCAACCTCAGGACCACACAACCCACTCGTGGCACCAGTACGACCCCAGCGCACCCTGAGAGGCATGTCAGTAGGGCTTTTCCCACAAGAGGCTGCCAGGGGCCTGTGGACAAGTGTGTTGCTCCCTCACAACCACGCCAGGTCACTTCCACCACGGGGTTAGGATTAGCCATGCCCACACCCAGGAATGGCGAGCAGGACGCTGGTCCTCTTCTCCGTTCCATGTCCACGGCAGGTCTCTCCTGTCCACAGGAGAGGCTAACGTGGAAACTTAAACAATGGCCTCCCCCCAATCACTCGACAACTAATTCCACACCAAGGCCTCATACTCCAGACCAACCAGCGCCACAACTCTCTTATAAAAACCACCCCTTCATTTCCTAAGTGGTTCTCAGGACCAAGTCCTCCCTATGAAGACCACAATCAGCAGGGAGGCCCATGCAGGGCACTGAGGGCAGCATGGAAAAAAGTCAGGACAGAGGTCAGGCTGAGGCCATGGGGCGCAGGCATCTCGTCACTCCTCCCACATCCTGATGTCCCAGGATAGATGACCTAGGCCTCCAGGATGACAGACAGGGAGACTTTGGCTTGGGAGTGGGGAGGGTAATGTTCTATGTGGGGACAACAGCAGGACACTGGTCTGCAGAGCATCTAGCCACTTGTCAGTCTGCATAAATCCTGCAACTGGAGGGAACTAACCCCTCTCTCCAGAGTACAGATGCCATGGATTCCCTGGACGCTGTGTTCCTGGACCACAGGGCTCACAAGGCAGGTGAGCACTGAAAGCTGTCTCCCCATCACAGCTGTAACCTGAGGCCTGCTGGAGGCTCTCATGGAGTGTCAGAGGGCACAGGCCTTGTCACCACCTGACACTGGATTCCCTAGCCCAGTATGAGGAGGTTGTTGTTGTTACGTGCAGTCCAGTCGCCTGTGACTCATAGCGACCCTATGTACAACAGCCCTAAACCCTGATCTATCCGGTGCCAATCTCACTATCTCCGACACCCCCACCCTGATTACCCGTCACTGAATCAATCCACCTCATAGAGGGTCTTCCCCTCCTGCGTTGTCCCTCCAACCTCCCAAGCATGACATCATTCTCCAAGGACCGGTCCCTCCTTGCAACATGTCCGAAGTATATCAGACAAAGCCTCAGAATCCTTGCCTCCAAGAAGCAGCCCGGTTTAACCCTCTCCAGGATGAACCTGTTTTTCTTAGCCCATGGTACATTCAGTACTCTTTTCCAGCATCACAGCTCAAAGGCATCAATTCTTCTTCTATCCTCCCTAGTCATTGTCCAACTCTCTGATGCATAACAAGTGATTGCAAAGACCATGGCCTGTATCAGGTGCACCTTAAGTCTCCAGAGTGACACCACTGTTCTTCAGTACTTTAGAGAGGTCCCTAACAGCAACTTTTCCCATGGCAATACGTCTTTTAATTTCCAGCTACTGGTGCCAAGAGTGTTGACTGTGGAGCCAAGCAAACTAAAGCTGTGAACAATCTCAATCTCTTCACCATACATTCTGAGGCTGCCAATTGGTCCTGTGGTTACAATCTTTGTCTTTGTGACATTGAGCCTCAATCCATATTGAAGGCTCCAGTCCCTGACCCTCTGCAGCAAGTGCTTCAGGTCCTTCTCAGTTTCAGCAAGCAGGGTTGTGTCATCTGCCTAACGCAGATTATTGATGGATCTTCCACCAATCCTGATGCCACACTTCTCCCCATAGAGCCCAGCCTCCTGGATGATCTGTTCTCCATGAGGAGGTAGCAGGCTGAAAAATGGTGACACACTCCCAAAAGACTACCACACTTTTATCTGGAAATACCAGATACCATGTCAGCCACCGGCTGGTCCCACAGAGGTCACCAGATGTGCTGGTGACAAGGCTGTCCAGGCAGCAGGTGCAGCGCTGTGGGACACCCTCTCTGCGAGGCCCGCAAGTCCAAGCCCAGCAGTGGGCTGAGCTTTCAGGGGAGAGAAGTTGCCAGGACAGTCTCAGCTGTGCTCACTGTCATAGGTCCCCACGTGGCACCAGCTCTAGCTCTACCCCACCCCCACTGGGAGCAAAGGGCAGGCATGCTTCTTGCTCTGGAGAGCACAGGAGGGATATATACTCATGCAAACTGGAATCATCCTGTGACTATGGAGGGGCCAGAGAGCTGAGCAGAGACCTCAGGCCTGACCCTCCTCTGAAGACACCCATTTCTCTGGCGCTGTGGCCTTAGCCAGGTCCTCGATCAGTAAAGAGACAGCAACAGGGCCTACCTTAGGGCAGCCACCAAGACACCAGGGAAGGCCTTGCACTGAGTCCTGAGGTCCCTCTGTTCAGTGCTAGAGTTAGGTTACCAGCTGTACCGTACCCTCTCCAAGATGGTAAGGACACAAGTGCTGTGGCAGCAACAGAGGCCTTGTTCCAGGCCAGGGAAAAGGAGCCAAGCGGGCCCTGAAGGTGCAACACCAAGAAGATGGCACCTGGGCCAAGCAGCCACAGAAAACCTGTCTCATCACCCAGGGACAAAGGAGCCCCATCTGAGGCTCCAGCTCCAAGAGTCTGGCCACTCTGCCTCAGCACCCTACCTCTGTCAAGGGGCCAGCTGGCTGCTCCTGGCAGACAGCCACGGTACCTCAGGGCCAAGTCCAGTGGGAGCACTAGGCTGCAGCCTGGCCTCCAGATTCTGGACTGAAAGAAAGGTGTGACCACAGGAGCAAGCGGCAGGCAGTCCAGCTGCCACCTGTCACTTATTCACCAAGTGGCATTCAAGTGGGGCACTGAAAACAGCAGCAACGTGGGGTCTGGGGTCCGTGGATGGCTAGCAGGCACACACTGGGAACCACACTGCAGCATCAGGGTCCAGTGACTTGTTCACTAAACAAAAACAAACCCACCAAGTCTCTGGTGGAAAGAAGGCAGGCAAAGTCACTGTGGTCTCTGCTCAGGACGGAGGAACAGCGGTGGCCACCAGCATGAAAGCCACCACCAGCTCTGAAAATGAGGGATCGGACCACTGACCATCTACAAAAGGGATGTGCAAGCAGGCAGCTCCAACACTGCACAACACGTCCACCTGGACTGACCTGTCCCCCGAGAGTGTGACCCGTCCCCCTGGAGTGTGGCCCGCCCGTCCCCCTGGAGTGACCCGTCCCCCGAGAGTGTGGCTCGCCCGTCCACCTGGAGTGACCCGTCCCCCTGGAGTGTGGCCCGCCCGCCCGTCCACCCGGAGGGCAGGGAAGCTGAACGTCCAGCAGAGGCTGCCGAGAGCCGAGAGTGAATGACCGCGAAGCCGCACATCAGCCGCACCGGCGGAAGCAAGGAGCTGAAAGTGGGCAAAGTCACGGCTTTCTCACAAAAGGCGAGCGGCACGCAGCGCAGGGCCGGGCGATGACCACACAGGGCCCGCCTCCGGGCACCTCCTTTGCAAGCGCGGCCGCACAAGTGCCCGGGGGCCCTGCCCGGCCCGGGGCCTACCCGCCCGGCGCGCGCCGTCGGCCTCACCCCGCGGCAGGTCACAGACAAAGCGCGCGACACAGCGGCCTGTCGGAGGCCGGGACCCCGCAAGCACCGGGGCCCGACGAGACCCAGCACGTACCGTCAACCGCGAACCTCACTGGCACCACCGGGCCGCCGCCTAACGAGAGCCACGACTAGGCCCGGCCGCCGTCGCCGCCGCCGCCGCCGCGCGCTCCCCGACCCGGAAGTGCACACAGCCGACTTCCGGGTCCTCCCGCCCCGCCCGTTGGCGGATGAGGGGAGAAGACGTCAGATGAAGGAACACTCCACTCCCTTCCGTCGGTGGGGGCCTCCAAAAGTTTCAATAGCCCTTATCCCTTGGAAATAAGTTCAGAGTGCAGGGCAAGAAATCCTGTGTCGTGGAAAAACTGAGCGTCTTGCCAGTGGGAGGGCCACCCTCCGCAGCCCGGCCAAGCTTGAACGAGCGAGGACACGCAGGACTTCGCCGAGCCCCGCCCCGCACACCTGATGCCCCGCCTTCCTCGCCGGGAGCCCCGCCCCAAAGTCAGCAGTCCCGCCTTCGACGTATGCAGCCCCGCCTCCCACGTATTCGGCCCCTCCTCCCACGACGGGAGCCCCGCCCCGACGCAGAAAGCCCCACCTCCTACGTACAAAGCCCCTCCTCTGTCAGAAGCCCCGCCTCTCACGTACGCATGCCGCCTCACGTACGCATGCCGCATCACACGTGTAGGTCCACCCTACGCCAAGAACTTTGCACCTTTCACAGCTGTCTAGTTTCTTGCGCCTCGTTGCAGTGTGCCATCAAGTCGGAACCGACCCATAGCTGATTCTCCAGCCGATTTTCAGAGGCAGTAAACTAATCCCTAAGGATGACGGAAGAATTGATGCCTTTGAGTTGTGGTGCTGGAGAAAAGTAGTGAACATAGCGTGCGTGGACCGCCAAGAAAACAAAAAGGTTTGCCTTCGAGAGGGTGAAAACAAATTTCTCCTTGGAGGCAAGGATCTTGAAGCTCCGTCTCACATACTTTGGGCACGTGGCCAGGAGGGCCCGGTCCTTGGAGAAGGACATCATGCTCGAGTGGAGGGACAGCTCAGGAGAGGAAGACGCTGGATGAGATGGCTTGACACAGTAACTGGGGTAATGGGGGTAGGTGTGTCCGAGTCAGTGAGACTCTGGATAGCGCAGGGGGCGCAGGCGACTCGACAGCATACATAACAACTAACTACATGGGAGGAGATTGCCCATCTTTCTCCCAGACTAGCTGGTGGATTCAAGACGCGTACCT